GGGGGGGCAGTACTGCTGTGCCTGAGACAAACGGTGCAAATGCTACTGTGCTTGTCGTCCCGCGCGCGACCATCCGCTGCTACAAGACGCCGCTCCAGAGCAAGCCGCAGACGCGAGCGGGCGTGAGAACGAGTTGCCGTCAACTGGCGATGATCGGTCGAACCGCGAGGGGTCGTCTTGGCGGGTGTCGTCGAGCACGGACACACGTCCCTTCGCTTTGGGGTGGAAAGGGAAGCGGCAAAGAAGCGTCCGTTTACATCTCTGGCAAAAAGCATTTCGTAAAATAGGGCAGTTTGCGTGTCCAGAGGCTCTTCGGGTGTCGATGCGTCAGTTATGAGGTAACCAGCGAGTAGACCATACTGAAACACAACAAGAAGAAAGGGGCAGAGAAAGTGAGGGGACACATTTTTTTGGGTGGCTACAGTGTTTCATGTTTGTTTGTTTTTTTAATGCCAAAAATTAATTGAAAAAAAGAAAAATAAAATTTGTGCAAACTTTTTTTGGATTAGTTAAGCTGTGCTCCAACCCCTTGCGCAAAGCAATGCGTATTTTTTTTAGAGACGTCGCAGAGCTCAGATGAGGGCTGAAGTGACAGCCCAAAATGTCAGCTCGGTTAGCTTTTTTTTTTTTTTTTTTTCCTCACTTAAAAGAAAAAAGACCAAAATTGTGAATCAATCAGTTTTTTTCTGACACATTTTGGTTGTTGAATGCACCCGAGTTGGAATATTTTGCTGGTCTAAAATGGAGGATTTGTTCCAGATTTTAAGGGGGGCGAATAACAAATAAGATGGCATTCGTATGATGTTTTCAGCCACGACTCATGTCCCATCCCGTTAGATATCTCTCTCCTCAATTGACGTGCGATAGATAATAAAATAGACGAAACTCCGACTGTGTCACGTGAGCTCATTTCCTGGCTGCTGCAGGATCAAGCGACAGATGTCGCTCATTTCATGTCCCGTTAGCTTTTACGCAGCTGCCAAGCAAATGAGCCCCGGTTGATTCGAGCGCGTGCGACGAGTCTATGAAGCACAGATTTTTTTTGGAGGGTGGGGCGGGAAAAAGAAACAAATGTGTCAAAAAATATTCATCCTATAAATGCCAACATTAAAAAAACAAAAAGGCAAACAAACAAATTGCAACAGCATCCAACAACGGGCATGCGTAGCATCAAAACTTGTTCAGGGAAAAGCGGCCAGGGGAGGGCGGTGCATTAGTGAGTGAAGCGAAGAGCAACGCGTTCCTGTGACGGAAACAACACATGGCAGGAAAAAGGAGAAAATGAAGTCACGTGACGGGTTGAAATCCATTTGCGCGTTTGCTCAAGCCTTTTTCGTGCAACGAAGCGACGCGGCAACATATGATGCGCTCCTCCTGTACAATGACCAGAAACGTGTCTTCATATTCGAAACGTAAGCGGCGTCCGTTTTGTCGCGCTTCTGTTTCTGCGTCGTCAAAGAAAATGAAATGGAAGTCGGAGAAAATGATTCAGTGTTTTTGCTCCCGTTTGTCAAAGTTTGCTATTTTGGTCTGGATCAACAGATTGACGGAGGGAAGGCGAGTGGCGACCGCTTCCAGCGAGCCAACCGGCACCTCAGACAATTGAATGAGCCAATCTGAGGCAATTCTGGCTGCATCAATATTGCAACACGCAATGTTTGCCACACGCCTGTGTCACACCATTTGTTGATTTCGCCTTCATGGCTTTTTTTTTTTGTTTGTTTGTTTTTAAATAAGGAGACGAAGTAATTCTACGACTTTAACAGCGTCAGGACGATGCCCCGATGGAACGTCAAAAACAGAAGCGCTCCGTTCTTTCCCACAACGTGACTAACGCCAATAATATCATCACACACGTACAAGAGCGGCTTAAAAATAGATTTAAAAAAAAAATGCAATCAAAGCAACACATTGACCACAAGAGCGAGGAATCCCAAAAATGTACACTGTTAAAAAAAAACAAACTCATAATAAATAATATAAATCACATAAGCAGTGTCCAGCGAGAAGCCACACACATCCACTGACTGGTCAGAACTCGAAGGTACACTCGCGCAATGAAACTCCAGCCAATTTGGCAACGCAAGCGTGTCGTCCGAGCTTCGACTGAACACGCAAACGTTTTTCAATCCGCATTTTGGAGTAGTTCTCATAAGATGGACGGTGTACCTAATGCTGTGACCAGTGCACGTAGCGCATATGACATCAGAAGTGTTCGTTGGCGGAAGAAGCGCGTGTTGGCATGGACAAAAAGAATCAAGAAACACGTGAAGAGAAGGTTAAAAATGGAAGGATGGTACCTTTTGTGAGTGCGCCCATTTGTACGAGCTATTAGAGGGATATTTCCAGGTTCCACACACTGCGGCCCCCCGCATGACACATGGAACAAGATCCGCCGGGATGACGATCAGCGACATCGGACAGGGACAACAAATTGACAAGAGCAAGACAATTTTTTTTCTCTTCTTTTTGTCTTTGGTCATCACAAACGGCGGCGCTCATGTGGAAATTCTTCAAGTGCTCGTCAATGAAGCAAAGAATCCGATTGTCTCCGCTTGACATGCATTAGCGACGACAAGCCTCAACGTGTGATTGGAGCAGATGTGAACTCGCACGTGAGCCCGCAAGAGAGAAACAAACGGTTACTTTCTTCAGTGAGTCGCACTCCCGCCGCTCTGCCGGTCCTCCAAACGTTGGTCGGTCTGACGTCACCTCGCTCGACACCTTTTTACCGTCGGCGGCTTCCCGTCGGAGACTCACCAGTAGAGATAGTAGAAGAAGGACAGGACGAAGAAGGACAGCTTGCACCAGGCCTCCTTCAGGCAGAACTTGAGCGTGTCGCCGTTCATGACCGAAGCCGGGTCGTAGCTCAACTCCTTGGTATCCGTTGGGGAATGGAAGTACCTACTGCGGAGGGCAAAGAACACAACGCGGGTAGTTGACCCGGTCGACGACTCGGCCCCTGGGGGGGCGGGGTAGGCATTGATTGTGTCGAATCACTTTGTGAGCAAAAAGGAACAATTAATAAGGCGACGTTCGGGTCATGGTGAGTGCAGAATCGGAGTGTCAGTTTGGATTTGAAGTGATACGGCGCCATTGATGGAAGAATTGTTTTGGGGGGGCATCTGTATCAGAACAGCTCGGCGTACCTCACGGTGTCGTTTCATTTCGCGATCGACGTATCGGGCGCCCCTGCTCGGGAAGAATGCGCTGATGTGACAGATGGCGTTTTGAGGAGCTCAAATGAAATCGGTGTCAGGTTCGATGACGCCATCCGCTCGGATCGGCTGCCGACGACTTCAAATTGGACGTTGGCCGTCGCCCCGGGAGGCACGCGGGTGTCACGAGAAGTGACACCCGCGTGACTTTGGCTCTCCAGATGAGCTAGCGCTCGCATTGCTTTCTCTTCTGCCTGACCGTCCAAGCTTCCGGCCGCTCCCGGGTCTCCGCTATGCTCCCCCCCACCCCTGTTTTCTTGTCTTCGCATCTGGGGGGAACGGCATCTGTAGCCAGAAGGCATCTGGTGCAGTCTCCGATTCATGAAACGGCAAGACGCCTTTTCTCTCCCTGCCTCTCCTTTCCTTTGAAACGATAACGGGCCGAGCTCAAAGCCGTCAGGTTCCCGGCGTTCCGCGTCGGGGTAACACCCGACGGGAAGAACAGTCCTCATGACAGAGAGAGAAGAATTAATGCTGACCTAATTTCCGCTTGATGCCTTCGGGGGCCTCCGCCAATGTAATGTATACATGTGAGACACTGATACAGAAAGAATACTTGAGTTTCTGCGCATTGATGTGAGCAAGATGGCTGCTGGTGTGCGGTATCTAGACACCCTCGTAGTCTTCTCTACAGTTTCCTTTCCTGCTCCATGTCTCCTATATTGTCATGTATCATTTTATATATATTTTTTTGTTTCTTCTTATGCCTCTATCGGAACAATAACGTCGCGTAAAATACGTCCTATACACCCCCTTTTCTCCGCGATAATGCAGTCCGTGATGTAAAATAAGTGACAGCGACAAGATTTGTGACCGCAGCATTCACCTCCACGTGTTGTAGAAGAGCAGGGGGATGTTGAGGCCCACCGTCAGCCATTCTTGGGCACATAGGAACATGATACAGAAGAGCACATGGATCGAGTACTCTGGTAGCACCAACTGAAAGATAAGACGGACGCAGATAGATGCACAAGGGAAAAAAAAAAAAAAAAAAAAAAGAGAATGAGTCACCGAGCTCCAAAGCGGTAAATGTGTTTCTCCGCATCTGACGCTCACTTGTACGGCGTGCCTACATACAGCATCCACGGTGCGAAAGCGTCGCCCGTACGACTTCGGGTTGTCGAGCATCATCGGCGTTTTGGTCGCCAACTCATCACGCGTCACATCGAGACAAACACTGACTCACGCGATGAGCAATGCGGGAGGGCAGCGGTCAGGACAAAAAAAAATGGAAACGAAGATACCGCTTGTTTCAAATCGATTCCGGTCGTGGTGTTCCATCACGATTCCGGAACGCCGAGGCTTTGTAAAAAGCATCAGACGCTCAAACATATTTATTCCTCCCGCTTTATGGCTATTGATGCATTATGGATTTATTTAAGTGTTTCTAATAATACAGTTTGACTTTCAAGACACCCGCTGACGCGAAGCGCTTGTGTTGCGGATGCATAATTCAAACGGCCGCACACCTTTCTAAAAGCGCGCCGACGCGTTCCCTCAGAAAAGCTCCCCATCAGCGGGGGGGGGGGAGAAAATGCTATTAAGGCAAAAGCTACATTTGTCCTTGATTGCACACCCCCGCCCAGTCAGAGAGTATGCATGGATGAATGCAAAAACACTCGGCCCATCCCCGCATGAACCAACAGCTCGGTGAAAAACAAGCGCACCGCGCTTTCTGCGCTGACTTGGGCGCATTTGGAAAAGTTGACGCGCAAACACTCGGAGATGTCATTGAATTGCTCGGCGACTCATGAGCGTGTTGACAGAGGCGCCCATCTGGGACCGCGTCCATCTGGGAACGGAGCGCCGTGTCCCCCGCCGCAGCGCCACGGCGCCCGGAGGCCGTCCTCGCGTCCATCTGATCCACCGCCAAGCCGCTCTTCTGCGTCACTGCCGACGCGTCATTCACGCGCTCATCTGAAATGTCATTTGACTCCTGGGACGCGTCACTCGACTTTGGAACGCGGTCGTTCCGCGCGGCCGTCACCCAGAAATGACGCCATCCTGGGAGTTGGGGTGCGAAGCTGAGATGTTTAGCGTCATGAAACATTCTCGGCGGAATATCGCATTGGCCAATTAACTTTGTGAGCGTCTTTATGCTCAAATATCAACATTGTCTGGAAACGAGATCGACTTCTAAAATACAGCGTTAGCCACCTGCGCGTTCTGAAGGTGAGATGCGGTGACAAAGGTCAGAAACAGTCGATCTCGTATGTTCGACCGTCTACTCCAAAACGCTCTGATATTCTGAGTCCAAATGCTTTTCGTATCATCAAAGTCTCATCTCGTACCGCCAGGCCGAAAAGTATCATAGCCGATATTCGAGGAAAGAAAAAGCCAAAAGAAGTCAACTCCCCCGTGCCCGCGTTTAATGCGCATCACCACAATCTCCTCCCGTTTGTATTTCTGGAGCGGCTGATGAGTGCTCCGTCCACCCTCTGTTTAACCCGCAGCGGCTCCTCTGATGTGCCGCTCCGGAGCAGGTACGGCGCAGCCACTGAATATGGATGACGTTGCATCATGATTCCCTTTTTTCCGTACGCAACGTCGAGCTCTGAGCCCGCAGCGCAAATGAGCCGTGCGGCTGACCGCTCTTCCGTGGAAATGACGGGGTCAGGATATGCTTGGATTAAAAAAAAAATACAAAAAAATAAAGCTCACAGATCGTTGCCGATGGGACGTTTCAAGCAAATGCGCAATTGAGCGTCGGCTCGTTGGGATTTCGGTGAATCAGGCCCAAAGTGCCTTCTTTCATTCTCCGAGCGCTCACCGCAACCTCCGAGGTTGCCTTCCGCCACGCGGCAAATGAGAACGCCCGCCCGCCTGCCCGCGTTTCGCTGCGTCGCTCGCGGGGGTCGCCTCATCCTCAGCTTCCAACTCCAATTAGCGAGGCCGCCCGCCTCGCCGCGTGCACGCTCGCGCGACTCCCGCGACGCACCTCTCCATATCTGTACC